CTGAGATCTGAGGATCACGGTTCAAAGCCAGCCCAGGAAGGAAAGTCTGTGAGACTCCATCTCCAACAAACCACTAGAAAACTGGAAGTGGCACTGTGACTCAAGTGGTAGAGTGCTCGCCTTGAGCTGAAGAGCACAGGGACAGTACCCAAGCCCAGAGTTCAAGCCCCACGATCTACAAAAAAAAGAAAAAAAGAGGAGAAAAGAAAAGAAAATCATGTATCACTATAGAGTAAATTATAATAAAATGCAAAAGGAACTGGGAATGAGTGTGAAGAAAAGTTTTACTTGGTTATTAAGTTAGAAAAACTCCTAAGTTTCTAAATGAATAATGAAATACGTAAGTTCACAGAAAAGTATTTGTTACCTATCAGTTGTGCATTAAGACATAGTTTCAAATTTCTACTTAACTATCTTTTTGTCTTCATTGATGTACTCTATTTTCAAAGATTTTATTTTATTTTTCTTTCCTCCTGAATATATCAATTCAGAATTCTCCCTTTGGACATGACTGTGGGTGGTCTGAAGAACCTATTTCTAACTCCCTGAATACAGAGTCTGTTTTAAGTTTTATTTTGTATTGAAAAAAAATTAGTAGAAAGCTATATATGCTCCCATCTGAAGTCTTCACTAGTGAAATTACTAATTTACTTTGGCTGCCAGTGAAGAACTACATGGGAGAGATTCTGCTGAGGAAAAAAAATAATGTAGCCTTTTGGGACTTCCCAACAATTTTAGCCAGTATATTCTGTGTCTAATGATTCCTTTAGGTTATCATTGAAAAATTCCAACAAGAAAGATTCTGTTTTGCTTCCTTGCTTCCTTCTACCAGTAGAAAATATTAGACACTAGTTAAAAAGGCCAAAATGAATAAAATTGATGGGAAGGTGATAGAGAAAGTGAGTTAGTAAGGCTAATGCTTAAAAGAGGTGAAAGAAAACTTGTAAGCTGATAAGGCAACATAAAAATTTCTAGACTCGGGCTGGGAAGTTGGCTCAGTGGTAGAGTGTATGCCTCACATGCATAAGGCCCTGGGTTCAATTCGTCAGCACCACATTAGCAGAAAAAAGCCAGAAGTGACATTGTGGCTCAAGTGGTAGAATGCTAACCTTGAGCTGAAGAGCTGAGGAATAGCCCCCAGGCCCAGAGTTCAGCCCCTACAACTGGCAAAAAAAAAATCCTAGATTCCAGGAAGAAGGGTTAAGCCCATTGCTTTTCTCTTTCCCAATTGCTTCTAGTACATTCACCAGTCTTACCCTCTCTGAGCACAATGCTCATTTCACCAGAGGCTTCAGTGACAACCTACTCATTTCTGAGTAGAGCACAAATTCTTTAGCTTCACAAATCATTACAGCCAGCCACCATGTAGCTCTACCTGTCTGACTTTATCCCACACTCTTTCTCCCATCATTTTCCATTTTTCCTTTTGTTGACTTTGTCTGTTTAGCATGGGAGTAAACTGTCATGCGTTCCAGTTGAAATCCTACCCCAGTGGAGTCCCAATGGTTCGTGAAGCTTGAGGAAGGCTGTCCCTCCCCTAGGCTTTCAAAGGCTCTGCACCTTTCCCCACCTTCTGTTGGTTATTCACTCTTGCCTTTTTTTCCCTAGAAGATCATATACTCCTGGTGGGATAAAGAATTCATTGTACCTTCTTATTCCTTCTATGGTGTTCAACATGTTGCTACCCTATTAGGACCTAAGAAATGAAAATGTAATGGATGAATTGTGGAAAGGAATTGCTTTAAAATCAGATACTCTAACACACATCTGATGGGGAGAGAGAGAGAGACACAGAGAGAGAGACACAGAGAGAGAGACAGAGAGAGAGTCTAAGCCTGATTTCACATTTCTTTCCATCTACAAATGAAAATCAGTATGAGCTCAAGTGATAGAATGCTTGCCTAATAAGCACAAGGTTCAATCCTCAGTACTACAAAAAAAAGTTATTAAACAGAGATTTTCATTACCCATAGCAGTGAAATGTAGTTATTGAGTCCAACAATAACAGTACCTCCAACTCGGGCATGCTGTCTGTGGGCATCTAGGCATTGTATCCAGGTCCCAAATCCAGTGCCACAAGTTTCCCAGGCCTAGTAGATTACATCATGGGACAGAGGCCTAAGATGTTCCTGGACCTCCTTGATTCTCTTAAGAATATAATTGATTTCCAAAAAACTATATGTCTTAAATTGCCTTTTAATTAACATTTAAATTATTTGTTTGTTTGCCAGTATCTTGCTCAACTGGAACTTGAGTCTTGCCTTTAGTCCCACTTTTTGCTGGAGATGGAATCTCAAGGACTTTTCTTACTGGGCTGACTTGAAACCACAATCCATAGTCTTTTGAGTTGCTAGGATTATAGACATAAGCCATGAACACCAGCTGATATTTAAATGTTTTTGACAGTAGACCAAAACATTACAAATAATAAATTGATGATACACATGGAGAAAGTGTTATTAGTATTTTTGCCAACTTTTCTGTGTGAACTAAGCCCAACAATATCTGATTTTTTTAATAATTCAAAAAAAATCTGTGCCAAGATTCTTAGAAAAAATTGCTGCCTAGCAAAACGTGAAATTTGATCATTAAAAACTTTATGCATAGAAAGCAGCTTTTTAAAGCTGAGCTCATCCTTAGTTAAAATTGCATGTGGATATTAAAGCTTTCTCTAGACTCTTTGGGATATTCAGAAAAAAAATATAGCATGATCTTAATTACTTTTTGATCTTCATTAATTTTTTGTCATTTCCAGCTACCTGTCTCTCCAAAGTAAATATTTTTTGTTTCTTAAAGTTTTGTGTGAGCCCTCAGCTTTATTCCTAGTTGCTGCTATTAAAAAAAAAAACTGAAATGGTTCCAAACACTGCTATTGTTTTTTCTTTTTTCCTGTAACTAATATTCAAACTTCAAAGACACACTGGTACTTTTATTTTATAAGGGGTATGCATATTTTCCCCTTAAGATATTTGCTAAGTTTTTTTTTATTTTTTTATCAGCTAGTTTTCTTTTTTAGAAGGTATCTTATTAGTAGCCTTTGAATACTTTCTTTAGATATTTATTCTTTTTTAAATTTTATTGTCAAGATAATGTACAAAGGGTTTATGTATGTTAGGCAATGAGTATCTTGTCAAACATTGTTACCCCTCCCTCATTTTTCTCCCACTTTCCCTTCACCGAACCCTCACCCCCGCAACCAAGTTGTAAAGTTCATTTCCAACATAGTTTCTTGTGAGTATCGCTGTTGCATTGGTTCACCCTTTGTCCTTTGTCTCACCATGTTGTTGTTCTCCTTCCCTTCCCCAAATCAGAAAAACACATACACAAAATCAAATACAGTGACAACAGAAGATAAACCAAAAGGAAAGAAAAAAGAAAGAGTTACACATAGTACATTAAAAATAACAACAAAGAAAAACCTCTTGTTTTCATATCTTGGGGTTCATTATTATTAGCATCATCTTATATGGTCATATGTACATAGCTATTGAACTATTGTGATCCTCTGCTAGAACATAACTAGACATATACTAATTATTACAAATGAGGGAAACCATGGAGCCTATGTTTCTTTTAAGTTCTACCTTAGCTTGGGAATTCTAAAACAGAAGCATGTTGTCATAGGTTCCTCCAAAGACTAAAACGAGAAAATAATCTTTCAACAAGACTTATTATTATTATGGCAGTGCTCATGTAAATCATTAGTGTATCTATTATGATAACTCTTAAGGAGGTTTTCCAAGTTGTATTTAATCTGTCAGTTGGGAGTGTTTTGTGAGTTTTCTTTCCTTTCAGAGGTGGAAAACATTTGGCCCATGGGCTATATAAGAATAAGAAATTATTTGGTACATGATGGTTCAGATATGTGTGCTTCTTTTATGCTTCTTGCCCAGCTGCCTACACTAATAATTTTGTATGGAAAACAATGTTATAAATATCCAAGTGGCTCTTGGTGAAGAAAAGGTTCTCTCTCCCTATAAGCATAAAGAACATTATTTTCATTTAACTGGAAAGCCTAAAGAAGTACTAATTATTATGGGGTGGTTTGTTTGTTTGTTGTTGCTTTTTTTTTTTTTTTTTTGGGTCCGGTCGTGGGGCCTGAACATCTGGGCCTGGGCGCTGTCCCTCAGCTCTTCAGCTCAAGGCTAGCGCTCTACCACTTGAGCCACAGCACCACTTCTGGCTTTTTTTCTTTTTGCTTATGTGGTGCTGGGGAATTGAACCCAGGGCCTCATGCATGCAAGGAAGCACTCTACCACTGAGCCACCTTCCCAGCCCCTGTTGCTTTTTTTATATTCCTATGTAATTTGGTTTTCTCAGATTCAGTTGATAGGTAGTATTGAAACTAGTACATTTTAATAACCACAAAAAGAAATCCAGATATTTCCAACCGTAACAATACTGTATGAATAAATAAAAATACAAATCAAGAGATTAAACTGTAAACATTACAATAAATACATAATGCAATAAAAAGGAAAAGAACAAAACATTTTACATCAAAACATTTTATTTGATACTGCAATATCTTAAAAAGAATATGTTCAGTGAATTGCATCTTCGCCTATGTTCTTTATTGAAAGAAAAAATAAGGCAATTTAACGTAAAAAAAATTTAGCTTTAATTCCTGTCTAGTCATAAGAAGAAATAAATTATCAGCCCTAACTAGCATTCTTTGACTTCACTTTAAAATCTTGTCCTTCAAATTAACAAAATGGTCTTCTCTTAAATGTTCAACAGACTTTTTAACCATTTCATAGGCCCATTATGTTTTACCAGGCTTAAAATGTGATCTGAAAAATGACATTGACTGTATGTGGCACATTTGCTATTCTTAGCCTGGTGAAATAAGCTGGAAGTGGATGAATAATACAGGTTAGAAAGAAAACAGATGCTAGATGTGCAAATAGGAGCGTCTTCCAACAATGAGACTTTCATTTCACAACAAGATTTTTTGTTGGCATGTTTGGCATTGTGATGATTATTGTTTTTCTGTCCAGCTGTTACACATCTGTATTGAAGGTTGGGGCAATTGGCGTTGGTCTGAGCCCTTCAGTGTGGACCATGCTGGGACATTCATTAGAACAATTCAGTACAAGGGCCGAACTGCTTCCCTCATCATCAAGGTTCAACAACTCAGTGGAGTACAAAAGCAGGTAAGTCTCGTTGGGTTCATGAGCGAGGCAACTTCTAAATATTTGGCATAATGAAGATGAAACTCAAAAGAAGTGTAAATAACTGGTAATGAAAACATCACAAATGGTTATGCATAGTTATGCCCACTACTGCTGTGCCTGTGAGCATTAAACAAGTGCTTGTTGATCTCCCTGATGATGATGGTGGTGGTAGTGATGGTAGTTTCAGTCCCTTTGTCCCACATCTTTTACAAGAGCTGCTAACGAGCAGTAAAATTTACTGATGTTAGTTTCACCTCTTCTCCCTGTCACCACCTACCTTCTGGTAGAGGTGCTAATGAGCTGTGAAATAGCCAAAGGGCCTTTCCTGAGAAGGAAAAGAAGCAAAGGGTGGTGGAGACCCTGGATAATCCACCAGTGGATAACCAGGAGTTGTTCTCCTCGTGCATATGAGAATAATCTGTGTGAAAGTGTTGCAGTACTCTCCTGTGAAGAAAGGAGTGCCTGGGTCTCCTGCAAGCTTCTCTTTTCATAGGAGTTAATATTAACTGCAGTAAAAATTCACTGCAGTCTAACTCCTGGCATATAAAACCTCAGCTCTCAGCACATATTTTTATATATTTTATAAAACTTCCTTTTGGCTGTTTTTGAAGTTCTAAGACTGCAAAAGGGAAAAAGTATCTGACACTTTTTTGTGTATTCTTAAGAACTGAAAATGTGGTTTCTAAGGGATGTTTTTCAAACATGGAGCACATGATAAGGTAAAAAGGAAAAAAGGGAAATATTAAAATCTGAAAACTGGCTTCACGGTACACAAAGAAACTGGATTTGTCCTGAGAGTTTTAACATACACATCTGCACCTGGATTATGACAGTTAGTATTATAGGCTTAAGCCACCATACCCTAGCTTTCTTCAACCACCTCTCCTCCTAATATCGAAGTTTGAATTCATAGCCTTGTGCTTCTTACGCAAGTGTTCTGTCACTTATTTGAGTCATGACCACATTATCTTTTGCTTTACTTATTTTTCAGGTAGGGTCCAGGATATTGTAAACTTTCGCCTGAGCTGGACTTGGGCGGTATCTTACTATTTCTCCCTCTAGGAGCTGTAATTCTAGCTAACATACTCCTACCCTCCCCTCTCAGGAGACTGAGATCTGGAGGATTATGGTTCAAAGCCAGCCTGTGTAGAAAATTTCACTAGACTCCTTCTTTAGAATAATCAGCAAAAAAAAAGAGCTGGAGGTATGGCTTAAGTAGTAGAACACCAGTTTAGGAAACATGGAAATATGATGTTTCAAGCTCAAACTTCAGTATAGCCAAAAGAACATGACACAACCATATGTGTGTGTATATATACTGTCAATATGTACAGGTGATGTATAACTATTACATATATTTAATGCTGTATCTATAGTCTGCTTGCTATACTTTCTATCATAGAAATTTTTCTGTTATGTCAAAATCCTATTTTTGCAAAATTATTTCTGATTCTACTGACAATAGGCATTTTGGTACAACAATATTTTGCTATTATAATTAGCAATGTTAGAAACATCCCTTTGTACATATCTATGTCCATTTCCTTACTCTTTTTTAACTCTTTAAATCTTTAAAAGTGGAATTTCTAAGCCAAAGAGATTTCAAAGCTCTTAAAACATACTGATAAAGTACGTTTAAGAAAATGATACCAGGGGCTGGGAAGGTGGCTCAATGGTAGAGCGCTCGCCTTGCATGCATGAAGCCCTGGGTTCGATTCCTCAGCACCACATAAGCAAAAAGAAAGCCGGAAGTAGAGCTGTGGCTCGAGTGGTAGAGCGCTAGCCTTGAGCTGAAGAGCTGAGGGACAGCGCCCAGGCCCAGAGTTCAGGCCCCATGACCGGACCCAAAAAACAAAAAAAAAGACAATAAATCTAGCCACTGACAATAAGTCTGAAGGGAATTTAGAGGCTTCATTAAGCAGCTTGCAAGAAATGTATAGAATTTTGAAAATGTATAAAATTTGAATTAATGTTCAAAGCAGGTAGGATAGCATAGACAAAACTACACACATCGGATAAGTAAATCTTATTAATGAAGGGACCAGCCTGAAGTATAGTCCTAAGACACTGAAGTGTCACTGATTCACAACTTCCCTCAGAGTTCTCATACACGCATGAGTTCTCAGTAAATACCTTCCTGAAAAATATATATTGGCTTTCTGATTCTATCAGTCATAGTTTGTTGGAAATACCTCATCCACCTTTCCATCCACTAAAAATTTCTGAGAAATGATCCTTCAGCTTCTATTGGAATAGTTCAAACAAGAAGCCCATTCCCTCACATGTAGCCCTTTCTATTGTTATTTCTACCAGCTAGTAGGATGTTGTCTCTGAAATGCGACTTGAAATCTCATCATTCCCATCAGCTTTTATTGTCCTCCAAAGCTGTGAGGGACATACAACCTTTATGAGGACTCTACCAGTCCTTTTTTTACAGTCCTTCATCCCCTCAAGCTTCCAAGTTCCTTTTTCACACCTGTATATTGAGTATTGTGAATACGTTTGCACACTCTGCTTCTCTAAATTCCTCTGTCCTCCTCCCCTTAAGTCTCCTTCCTCAGCTTCCTGATAATCATTTTCTTAAACTGTCAGTTGTTCAAAGGAGTTACAGCAGGGAATCTACCCCTGTAGATACTACACTTTAGTTTGATTGTGGATATATGCATATGGCCCAGTATATGCTTTCCTGTATGTTTGTATTTTAGGTTTCTAACTTCTATATATGAGAGAAAACATGCCCTTTGTCTCTCTGAGCCTGACTTACTTAAAGTAACATAACTTTTTCTTTAAAAAAACTGAAAATTTTATAATATACAGTTGCCACAATAAAAAAAAAAAATGATGTTTTTAAAGTCTAAAAGTGCTGAGCGCCAGTAGCTCACGCCTGTAATCCTGGCAACTCAAGAGGCTGAGATCTGAGGATCATGGTTCAAAACCAGCCCTGGGCAGGAAAGTACTGAGACTCTTATCTCCAATAAACCACTCAGAAGACTGGAAGTGGCGCTGTGGCTCAAGTGGTAGAGTGCTTGCCTTGAGCTGAAGAGCTGAGGGACAGCGCCCAGGCCCAGAGTTCAAGCCCCACAACCGACAAATAAAAAAATAAAATAAATAAAGTCTAAAAGAAAGGAATAAACAAGGATATAGCCAATATGATCAGAATCCCCACAGGTCTTATTGGAGCATGTACTGCTGGGCCTTACCGCCAAAGTTTCAGGTACAGAAAATTCTTCCAGTGTCCTGAAAGTTTGCATTTCTAAAAAGTTCCCAGTGATACTGATAATGCTGGTCCAGGGGCCATACTTTGGTTGTCATAGCTCTGAACTAAACTTTTCCAGTTTGTACAACTCTTGCGTTTGATTTTCTAGAACACTCACCCATGAGTAAAATTGCAGGATCTTCTGTCATAGGTAAGATCACTGACAAACCTGTCAACCAATATTCCCTTGCTACTAGCTATGTGATTTCCAGCAAGCTATAAACCTCTTTGTAAAACAGTTTCTGTCTCCCTGTCTCTCTTCCCCTATTCTCCTCTCTACTTTTCCCTTTCCCTCTCCCCTTCTCCCTCTCCATCTTTATCTGTTTTTTGGCAGTTCTTGGAAGGGAGCTTATTTGGCAGGTACTCTACTGTTTGAGCTACACCTCCAGCCCTTTTTGCCTTGGTTATTTTCAAAGTAGGATCTTGCTTTATGTTTAGGCCACCTTAAACTTGGGTTATTCTACTGTGCTTCCCCTTGTCACTGTGAATGACAGGTGCTTACCACCATGCCCAGTCATTGGCTTATAAGATGGAGTCCCATGAACTACTTTAATGCTCCAGCTCTTCTCAAAGCACAGTTCTCCAATCTCTGCCTACCAAGTAGCAGAATTAGAAGCAATGTGCCTGGCTGTGAATCAGTTTCTCTATTAATCGAGGGTAGTTATTTTGCCTTCTTCAAGAAGTTAGGATTAAATGATTTTGTGTACACAAAATGCTAATGTGTGCCTAGCCTACAGTCATAGTCCAATAAACTTCAGATAGATTTACTGTAATAAAATATTCTCAGGCATGAGCAACACTACATGGCCTTTTTAGGTGAGACTAGATAGTGCCTCATTTTTCCATGGATATGTATTTTCAAGGAATGATGTTAAATTTTAGGAATAAATATATGCAGTGTTCCTTCACAGGTATTATACATTACAACAGTGTACCAAATGTCAGAGAAAGGTTGTTCGAGGAATGACTCAGAAAGTTTTAACCTCTCTCCTCTCCATCTTCTCAGTTACACAAACAAGCAAAAGTTTGAAGTATCTTTTTAAATTAGATTTAATTTGTATTAGCCAGGTAGTTTAACCTATAATCAGATTTGGTGTAGTTAAAGCACATCAGAGAGATTTCCTCAGTTGGTGAGGTTATAGGAAGGAAGAAAGGAGCTAGGCTTTCAGAAAAGCTTCATAGATTCTTGCCTCCCTCATGTCTTGGCTTTTTTCCTTCTACTCCACCTGGGCCTGGAAATTTGCAATAAACTGCAGCTGCCTAATTACCAAGGCTCATTTGGGGAGGTGAGTATATGCAGATCCCCATTGTGCCTTAACTGCATTAATATGCCCCCGGATGATAGAAAATTGGCTAAAGCTCTTTTCAACCTTGATATTTGTTTGTGAGTGTTCTGCCTTTCCTGTACTCTCTCATTTCCCCCAATGAAAATTGACCACATACCAAATCTCCCAGGAACTTAGTACATTATATAACACTCATGTATACTTACTTGCTTTTGTGTTTCCCATTTCTTCATTGAAGAAACCTTTACCACTGTAAAAGCTTGGATGTATATATATTTGTATCTTTATACATACACTTTTAATCATGGCTAAGATATCATTTTCAGTGCATCTGGTGCTCTGGAGTTGTTCTTTAATATCACTATTCTTCTTGGCACTGATTTAATAAGAGTTCTGAAACCTGCTAAGTAAAATCATATGTGGAAATCTTCAATACACATCTTTGTGGCTTGGGGAAAAGAGAGGAATTAGTGTGAAACCTGAAAATGTGTTTTAAAGAGAAACCTTACATTTAAAAAAATTAGGTAGCTGTCTTCAACTGATAAATTAATCTTGAAATTCCAACCATAATTTTCAAATTCAAGACACTTAAAAGCCACTTTGAAGAAAAGCAGACAACACCTCTGAACCTGCCACCGTGAAAGAGCAGCATTCAAATGAGTAGCCATTTTGAATTTTCCTTCATCTCAGCAGTCTTCCTTCCCTGGCCACTTTTCATGATTTTCTTTTTCTTTTTTAATCAAATTGGAAAGCCTATTTAGCAGGCTTTTTAGTTGAAAATGGGACTATATAAAAATTCACCAAGGGAATCTTTGTCTCTAAATGAAGTGAGTCCCAAATGGCTGCAGAGTCTGTGGTTTCTGTGAAAGACAAATACTCTCTTCTGAATCTCCTGAGGTCCAAAGGTTGTGAAGTCATGCACATGTATTGCTAGGCCTGGGCATACCAAGAATAAAAACAGAGTCAAATACTGCCTCAACACTTTCAAATGTTTATTTAAAGTTATCTGCTGCTATGACATCGTAAGATTTAACATTGTTTAGTAATCCTTAGCACATGATAAAGAAAAGCTTGTCAGTTTAGGGCTCTAGTATAGCTGACTTTTGTGGTTTGTTCTTCTGAAAGCATAGTTTTTAAAAGATTATAATTCCTCGAAAAAGTATAGTAGTGAAGCATAGCTTGTTTTATACATATGCTCCTTCTAGAGAAATTCAAATGATTAAAAAAATGCTGAATCCCACTCTTCAAACAAACAAAACAACAATGACATTTAATTTGAGGTCTATCAGTCTATTAGATTTGTTTGTAATGAATAAAGAATCCATTAAAAATTAGTGATTTATCTATTTGTGTAACTAATAGTTGATTTTAAAAATCATGGTACAGCATAACCATGTCATAATGGCATAGAAATATACCTACTAGGATAGTTTCAGCTTGAAATTATAAAGCTTGCTTTACAAAACTGCATTTCTTCTTTTGGCGGGCAGGGGTGGGTGGGTGTGTGGCAGCTTGTGCTGTCCCTGAGCTTTTGGGCTCAAGGTCAGCACTCAACCACAAATCCACTTCCAGCTTTTTTGGTGTTTGATTGGAGGTAAGACTCTCGCAAACTTTTCTGCCTGGGCTGGCTTTGAACCGCAATATTAAGATCTCAGCCTCTTGAATAGCTAGGATTACAAGTATAAGCCAGTAATGCTAGGTTATATTTCTTACTTTTAATATTTCTCACATTATAAAATAATAATATGGGGGCTGGGAAGGTGGCTCAGTGGTAGAGTGCTTGCCTTGCATGCATGAGGCCCTGGGTTCGATTCCTCAGCACCACATAAGCAAACAGAAAAAAGCCGGAAGTGGCGCTGTGGCTCAAGTGGTAGAGTGCTAGCCAAGAGCTGAGGGACAGCACCCAGGCCCAGAGTTCAGGCCCCATGACCCGACCCGACCCCCCCAAAAAATAATATGTACAACATGTTAGTATGCTATACATATTCATGTTATAGAAGGATTTATTTTTTTAAAATGTTTCCTACATAAGAGAGTACACTTGCAATATACTTTATTTATTGTAAAGGTGATACACAGAGGGGTTGCAGTTATATAAGTCAGGTATTGAGTACATTTCTTTTCGAACAGTGTCACCTCTTCCTTTGTTTTCTCCCAGTTTTTTCTCTCCCGACACCCCACCCCTAACCCCAAAAAGTTATATGGTTTATTTTTAACGTATAACTGCTGAATTAATTCACCCTTTTTCCCACCATACTGTGTTTCCCCTTCCCCTACCCAAATCAGATAAAATTACATACAAGACAAGAGGTACGGAAATAAAAAAAAACAGTGGCAAAAGGACAAAAACAGAAGAAAAAAAAAAAAAACACACACAAAAAGTAACATTGAAAACCTCTTGTTTCCATTTCTTGGAGTTCATTTTGATAAACATCATTTTTTATGATCATATGCACATAGCTGTTGAGCCCTTGTGATCCTCTCCTAAAGAATAGCCTCCTTTGGTCTCACTGTGTGAATGTTTAGAATCCTGTTTAATGTATCATGTCCAAGTGTAATTTTTTGTCTTTTACTATCCATTTGGTTTATTTGTAGATTTATAGGCACATTCTGATTATTACAAATGAGAGAAACCATGCAACCCATGTTTCTTTAGGTCTGGCTTACTTTGCTTAATATAATTTTTTTCAAGTCTTTCTATTTTCTTATGAATGGGGCAATATCATTCTTTCTGATGGAAGCTTAGAATGCCATTGTTTATATTTGCCACATTTTCTTGATCCATGACACTGAGGGGCATCTGGGTTGATTCCATATTTTGATTATGGTAAACAATGCTGCAATGAACATGGTTGTGCTGGTGGCTTTAGAGTGGCCTAGTTTATGGTCAATTGGATAAATGCCCAGATGTGGAATTGCTGGGTCATAGGGAAGCTCTACATTTAGTCTTTTGAGAAATCTCTACTGTGGTGAGTGGTTTGACAAGTTTATATTCCCACCAACAGTGTATAAGAAGAGATGCTGGCAGGGATGTGGCCAAATGGGAAAAATACACTTTCAATTGTAACCGATACAAGAAACATTTCTTTTGTTATTTATGGTATTTTAAAGCATTACTTACCCAAAAAGAGTTTTGTTACATTTTCATACATGCATACAGTGTACTCTAAACTTGCTCTATCACTGTCCCTCATTCTCTTCTTCTTTTAACAAGCTTCATTGTTTTATTTTGATACATGCATATGAAGTACTTTGAGCATAGTCACCTCATTCACTTGCTCAATTGGAACTCTTCCTCCCATTGTTATCTGCCCCCAACAGAGCCTATTTTACTTTCCCGTTAATGCTTTTTTCGTTACTTTTAGTGTTATTAATTTCACAAAAGGATTTCCCAGTAGTATTTCACATGTGAATATATTATAATTTAGTCAAGTTAAGCTTATCTATTGCTCTCTTTTCCTCATCCTCCACCTACATCTGTTATCTTTACTTCTTCCTGGCCCCTTCATCTCCCTAAAAAGTTACAGTTATAACACACAGGTTTGACTGTATGTGGATGGATGGATACACACACACATTTTTTTTCAGCCCTACTATGGTTTCTCACCCTAAGTCTGCCTACAGTTTTGGTCACTTTGTAGGTTTGAGCTTCCACTCTCCCCTCTGTTGGTGCTATTTGCATTTATTCCGCAAGTCTTTATCCCCAGCTCCATCTTCTCTTTCAAGCACCTGACCAATATTTCTAACTGGGCACTGCCTCTTCATCTCCTTTGAATATTGCAACTTAGTATGATCGTTGAGTTATTTTCTTGAAGCTCTGTTTCCTAAGTACATTTTTAATGAACACCAACATGTCTGTCTGAATTATTATATATTTATTGTTAATAAAGCCCAAACTGATGAAATCTTACATTGTCTTTTAGATTATCATCTGTGGAAGACAGATCATCTGTAGTTATTTGTCTCAAAGCATAGAACTAAAAGTCGTTCAGCATTACATTGGTCAAGATGGTCAAGCTGTAGTTCGAGAACATTTTGACTGCCTCACCGCAAAACAGAAATTACCTTCATACATATTAGAAAACAATGAATTGACAGAGTTGTGTGTTAAGGCCAAAGGAGATGAAGATTGGTCAAGAGATGTGTGCCTGGATCCCAAAGCTTCTGAGGACAGCATTGTCATTCAGGTATGAGAAGTGGTACAATCTCAAAGAAAGTAGTAACAAGGAATATTTTCACAATATGCTTTTTACTTGATATAGAACCTAATCTATTAAAATACTACTTTTTAATCTTATTACTAAGTAATATGTACAAAAGGGGAGAAATCTGAAAAGAATCTAGAAAAGCTTTGGAAAGTGCTTCTCAAATGGTTGCCCTCCCATCTCTATTCTTCCTGGAACCTTGAAAAAGATTCTGACATACCAAGCCTGAGGGGGGTGGCAGGAAATACAGGGTGGCAGCCTCTATACTTGAGGACTTTAGTGATGGTTAGTTTTTTTAATCTCTCCCTCAGTCTTCACCATCATCATTTTTATTCCCATAAAGAACAAATCATCTCTTCCACTCTCACACTGGCTTCTTTTCCACTCTCCATTGCAAAACCCTATCTTTATGGAAACAGCCATCCACTTTTGCCATGATAAAATCTGATTTTGTTTACTTGTTTTGTGAGTGGCTTTTTTATATAACATTAAACATTTTTATCATCAAAACTAATAATGCATGTCTTATTTTGATCAATTAGTAGACTAGTTAGTATCTAATAGGACCCTTTTCCATCTCATTTGCAGGTGCCAGCTTCAGACAGTTCTATTATTTATGTCTGGTGCACAGTTTTGACTTTGGAACCCAACTCTCAAGTGCAACAACGAATGGTGAGTGCTTTCCCAACCCTGAAATATGGTATGTGGCTCTGACCTTTTCTGCTCTGAAATAAATTAAGGTCAGAGTGACCCAAGGAAGAGATTTATTGCAAGTTTGTTTCAGCATCAAGCAGCTGGAATACTGCAACAAAGCAAATATGAAAGTTGTTCTGTCCTTTTATTTTTATAGATTGTGTTCAGCCCTCTTTTTATCATGAGGAGTCATCTTCCAGATCCCATTATCATACATTTGGAGAAAAGGAGTCTGGGATTGAGTGAAACACAGATTATTCCAGGAAAAGGACAGGAAAAACCACTGCAGAACATAGAACCTGACCTTGTACATCACCTAACATTTCAAGCAAGGTATTGGCTAAGTACATTATATTTTTTTATTTAATTTTTAATTTAATTATATTTTAAGTTTAACACTATGTATACACGATGTATACAGGGGTTATAGTTACATAAGTAAGGTAATGAGTACATTTCTTGTCAAACAGTGTTACCCCCTTCTTCATTTTCTCCCACTTTCCCTCCCCCCCCCCCCCCCCCCCGCCAGCTCCCCATCTCACCAAGTTGTAAAGTTCATTTACAACATAGTGTCTTGAGAGTAACATTGTTGAATTGGTTCACCCTTTGTCCTTTGTCTCACCATTTTGTTATTCCCCTGTGCTTCCCCAAAACAGATAAATGTATATATAAGACCTGGGGTACGAAAATCAAAAACAGTGACAACAGGGCATAAACCAAAGGAAAAAAAAAAGAAAAAGAAATAACATCACACAGTTCATTAAAACAACAACAACATTGTTTCTATATCTTAGAGTTCATTTCAATTAACATCCTTTTATATGGTCACATGTACGTACATAGCTATCGAGCTATTGTGATCCTTTGCTAGGACTGTCCTAGATATATACTAATTAGTACAAATGAGGGAAACCATGGAGCCTGTGTTTCTTTGGGTCTGGCTTATTTTGCTTAATATTATTTTTTCCAAATCTTTCCATTTCCTTATGAATGGGGCTATGTCATTCTTTTGGATGAAAGCATAGAATTCCTTTGTCTATATATACCACATTTTCTTGATCCATTCATCTACTGAGGGTCATCTAGGTTGATTTCATATCTTGGCTGAATAAATAATACTGCAGTGGACATAGTTGTGCTGGTAGCTTTAGTATGGCCTTGTTTGTGACCATTTGGATAAATGCCTAGGATTAAGATTGCGGGATCATAGGGGAGCTCTATGTTTAGTCTTTAGAGTAACCTCCATACTGCTTTCCAGGGTGGTTGAACAAGTTTACATTCCCACTAACAGTGTAGTATCATTTTCTTCTGGCCACATTCCTGCCAGCATCTGTTATTATTTGTTGTCTTGATAATGGCTATTCTAATTGCCGTGAGGTGGAATCTCAATGTAGTTTTGATTTACATCTCTTTTATGGTCAGAGATGTTGAACATTCTTCGTGTGTCTATTGGTTATTTTTATTTCCTCTTCAGAGAAGTCTCATTTTAATTCTTTAGTCCACTTATTAATGGGGTAGTTCTTTCTTTGAGGATTTGTTGTTACAGTTTTTGTTGTTGTTGTTGTTGTTTTTTAGCTCTAGTGTATTTTTTATATGATGCCCTTGTCTGTTATATAACTAGTAAAGATCTTCTCCCAATCTGTGGGCTTTCTGTTTATCTTGCTAACTATGTCCTTTGCCCTGCAGAAGCTCTGCAGTTTAATGCAGTCACAGCTATCCAGCCTTTCTTTGATTTGTTGTGTTTCTGGATCTTTATTTAGGAAGTTTTAACCTGTGCCAAGGAGCCCTAGTATATGCCCTATCCCTTCCTGTAATATTTTCAAGATATTTGCTCTTACCTCAAGGTCATTGATTCTGGATCCAACTTCAGTTTTCTACATGTGTATAGCCAATTCTGCCAGCACCCATTATGTACGTTATATTTTTGTGTTTTCCTAAAAACAGTTCAATTGAAAAGAAACCTGGTACTATTGGAAGAGGAGGAAAGATGGATGGGGTTTATTGTATGATTTCTTATTTTAGGAGAAAATTATCTTTTAAGTTGCCCTGACTAGTATTCTCTTATTCTTTTCTAAGGATTTACATAAAACTCAGCCTTTCTCATTAAGCTTAGAAATTACTAAGAGGGGAGATGGGTGTGGTGGTTCACTTATATATTCCAGCTCCTTGGGAAGCAGAGAAAAGAGAGTTGTGATTTGAGGACAGTCTATGCCAAAAGTTAGTGCAGGATCCTATATGAAAAGCAAGTTGTTGTAAGTGGTAGAGTACAAGCATAAGCCCGTGAGTGTAATCCCCAATACTACACACTCAAAGAACCAAGAGTAATAATCAAAAAATATAATTTGCTGGATGCCAGTGGCTCACGCCTGTAATCCTAGCTATTCAGGAGACTGACATCTGAGGATTGTGGTTTGAAGCCAGCCTGGGTAGGAAAGTCTGTGAGACTCTTCAGTAAACCACCAGAAAACTGGAAGTGGCACTATGGCTCAAAGTGGCAGAGCTCTAGCCTTAAGCAAAAGAGCTCAGGGATAGTGCCCAGGCCCTGAGTTCAAGCCCCATGACTATATATCTCTGTGTGTGTGTGTGTGTGTGTATATATATATATATATATATATATATATATATATATATAATTTATATTTAATTGACACATTATGTTGTAGTTGAAAATGTGACTAGAATTCTCATCCAAACATGGGCAGATGAGAAGGAAAAGTCAGCACTCAGATCATCCCAAAACTGTGTCATAAATTCCTAAATCACAAAAAATAGGCTCAGTCTTATACAAAAGTATTAATCTATATTCTATTTGTAGTTACATTTTTCTTAATAAATTATAGACCACTTTAGAAATTTATCTGTTTTTTCTTTTTGTTTCCTAGGGAAGAATATGATCCTTCAGATTGTGCTGTTCCCATTTCAACAGCACTTATTAGGCAAATAGCCACTAAAATCCACCCTGGAGGCACAGTTAATCAAATCCTTGATGATTTCTATGGGCCCGAAAAGTTCCTTGTCCCCACATGGCCCTATAACAAGAAGGATTCTGACAGGTACCATTCCTTAGTGATCTTTTTCTGTACATACTTGTAAACATTAAGAATACTAGATACTGTAAAATGGTGGTGGGAAGGGGTGGGATTTACATGTATCTGGCATATTCCGATCTTTCATCATCTAGTTAGGTATATTTTATAGTATTTTTTAACTCATAATATAGAACATAAGTGCATGAAAAGTTGTTTTCTCCTGCTTGCACATTGAATGAGTCTGATATGAAGAGTTATCATACAGGAGCACTGTGTGTCTGGAATCCTTAAACATATTTCATGAATACTTAAGTCATCATATTTCATCGAGTCTCTTGGATGTGGTATTTGGAACAGGAATGAACAGCTGAGTCAGTGGGATAGCCCAATGCGAGTGAAGCTGTCAATCTGGAAGCCATATGTTAGAACATTGTTGATAGAACTTCTACCCTGGGCCCTGCTTATCAATCAGTCCAAGTGGGACCTCTGGCTATTTGAAGGCGAGAAGATTGTTCTGCAGGTTCCTGCTGGCAAAATTATTATCCCTCCTAATTTTCAGGTATTAATTCACTTTTTAAATGAACATAAATCTTTTGTCTTAACAACCAGATTTTATTCTGAGATTGCCTTTATGATCTTAACAGAGTGAATCATCTGTGGACTGTCCTGGTAGGTGCATACGTAAGGGGTGTGGAATGTTCTTTGATATTCAGACTTTTCAGATGTATTTTTTCCTCATCAGCAGTATTCATGGTTGATTTGTCATTAAATGTGGTAAGTTTTACTAGTTACATTCTCATTTCCATTGTATACAGAACATTTGACAAGTATCAGGGTTTGTCTTCTCAAGGTGTTAAGGATACAAAGCCATATTATGTCCTAATCCACTCCCTACATATTCTTTTCAGTTCTGAAAATTCTCTGAAATCTGAATGATGCTAAGGAGAGAGGAAGGAAGGAAAGGAAGGAAAGAAGGAAGGAAGGAAGGAAGGAGAGAGGGAAGGAAGGAAGGAAGGAGAGAGGGAAGGAAGGAAGGAAGGAGAGAGGGAAGGAAGGAAGGAAGGGAGAAAGGGAGAAAGAGAACACAAAGGAAGGGTAGGAAAGAGGGAAAAGAAAATAGAGTAAAAAATCATAAGAAAAATATTTTCCTGATAGAACAAAGAATCAGAGTTGTTGTTTTTTTAGCTTTAGTCCACAAACATCTTTATTCAATTGCATTTTTCCTTTTAAAAAAATCAAATGCTGTTACCTTATAGAATTGGAATGTTGACCTATTTGGATCTAAAGTTGCATATTATTTTCTTGTCAAATGAGATGAAACCTTTCAGTTTTTAAGCCTTTCGTAGTCACATCTTGAGTGTGTTTTCCCCCATTTATAAATGTAGATATCAGTTGTAAATCAGTTGTAAAGACAGTGGAAACCAAGATTGAATATATATTGTCATTACAAAAAAATAGGAGGATATTTGGCTGCTTTAATAGACTTATTACATAGTATTTTAAGGTCCTGTAGGTTGATGTTAAAAGTACCAGAGTTATGAAAAATAACTGAGGAATTATTTTTCAGGAGGCTTTTCAAATTGGAATATATTGGGCAAATACAAACACTGTCCACAAGTCAGTAGCAATTAAATTGGTTCATAACCTGACATCTCCAAAGTGGAAAGATGGAGGCAATGGTGAAGTTGTGATATTGGATGAAGAAGCATTTGTTGATGCAGAAATAAGACTTGGTGCTTTCCCAGGACATCAGAAGGTAAGATCAGAGTTGATGTGGACTGGGGAAATAACATGACACCTTTGTAAACTGTTGAAATGAGTGTGGTATTTCTTTTGTAATCTTTTCAGTATTACTTATCCGAAGTAATTTATAGCAGTGAAATGCTTGATTTCTTAACTTAGACCTCTGTTTTACAGTGGATCTTTTCCCCTTTACTAGTGACAAAAGCTGTGTCACATAATTTATCCAGTAGCTACTCTCTTTCAGATTACTGAGCAGTCACTTGATTTATAGTATGTAAGTGAACTTACTGCAAAATACCCACAAACTGTACTTGTCCTGATTCTTTAAAATAGGAAATATTAGGGCCTGGGAAGGTGGCTCAATGGTAGAGTGCTTGCCTTACATGCATGAAGCCCTGGGTTCTATTCCTCAGCGCCACATAAGCAGAAAAAGCCAGATGTGGCACTGTAGCTCAAGTGGTAGAGCACTAGCCTTGAGCTGAAGAGCTGAGGGACAGCGCCCAGGCCCAGAGTTCAGGCCCCATGACTGGCAAAAAATTTTTTAAAAAGACAGGAAATATTAAGTAGCTAGCATTGTAAGTATTCAGTGAAAAAACAAAGATTCCTACAGCAAGGGATGTCTTCTGAAAGGGACATCTTGAATATAACAATGGAGACCAACTGATTGTCTTACTCAGCGTCAGTTGTTATAAGAGGGAACTGCATTTTTCAAGAGTGGACCAGTTTCATGTGTTTTAGAGATAAGATTTTAGATATGCTCTATTTTTAGATATAACTGAGTATATAAAAGATATATTCATTTTTAATGTTTGCATAAATCTAAAACCTTTGAAAACCAACAACAATAATAATAAATTATAATCTAGTAACCAATCATATTAAACTGAATGTAAAAAAGTTGTGTATCATAATATTAAGTCTCCTGTTCTTCTTATATCCTATATTCATTATTTTGGCTGTCCTAAATGAGAAAAAGAAAAGATAGTTCACAGATTAGTAGAATTCACAATGACATTACTCTGAGAAGAAATTGGATTTTTTATGCCCCTCTCTGAAGATTCTTTTGAGAGAATTCAGAGTCATTTGGTTGTGTGTGTGTGTGTGTGTGTGTGTGTGTGTGTGTGTCCACACGTGTGTGTGTGTGTGTGTGTCCACACGCATATGCCTGTCCTGGGGCTTGAACTCTGGGCCTGGGTTCTGTCCCTGACCTTTTTTCTTTTTGCTTAAGGCTAGCACTGTACCACTTGAGCCACAGCTCTATTTCAGGCCTTTTGTTAGGGCAGGGAGAGGAGTTATTTGGAAATAAGAGTCTCATGAGAGGGGCTGGGAAGGTGGCTTAATGGTAGAGCGCTTGCTGGGTTTGATTCCTCAGCACCACATAAGCAGAAAAAGCTGGAAGTGGCGCTGTGGCTCAAGTGGTAGAGCACTAGCCTTGAGCTGAAGAGCTGAGGGACAGCGCCCAGGCCCAGAGTTCAGGCACCACAACCGACAAAAACAAACAAACAAGAAAAACAGTCTCATGAACTTTCCTGCCTGGCCTTGGCATTGAACTGCAGTCCTTGTGCCTTAGCCTCCTAAGTAGCTAGGTTACAGGACAAGTCAATGATACCTGGCTCATTTGGTCACTTTTTTTTTGGGGGGGGGGGGAAGTGGGGGGGTCCGGTTGTAAAGACCGGACCTGTAAGCAAAGACCTGTAAGCATGAGTTCCAAAAGTTGAATAGTTGTAAGTTCAGAACTACCTTCAAAACCTGGAAAGTCTGTTACAATGTACAGACAAAGAAACAATACCCTAACCCCTCACAACGTCACCACAGCAAGTGCTAATAACTGTGAATGAAGGAGCTGTTGGTAAATATACTGCTTACCTATTGCTCTTTAGTAATAACTCAAACTTTTGAGTCTCAGGAATTCCTTTACACTCAAAAGTTATTGAAGACTACCTAAATCTTTTATTTCTGAGAGTTGTATCAGTTATTACCATTAAATTAAGGTAGAAATGTTTAAAGCATAAGAATTTTAATATATTCCATAAGCCATTAAATGATATGTTACATTGCCTGTGGGAGAGTCCACTGTTCACTCATGAGGAAATTAGAGTGAAAAAATAGTGTCTTATTACTGTTTTTAAAACATTTTTTGCACAGGGCACTGGTGGCTTATACCTGTAATCCTCTCTACTCTGGTGGCCAAGATCTGAGGATTGTAGTTCGAAGCCAGTCCAGGAAGAAAAGTCCCTGTGGGACTCTTATCTCCAATTAACCACTCAAAAACCAGAAATGGAATTGTAGCTCAAAGTGATAGTGTCCTAGCCTAGAGCAAAAGAGCTCAGGGACAGTGCCCAGGCCCTGTATCATGGAGGAAATACAGACTTCAAGCCCACCACCACTACCAACAACAACAAAATCATTTTCACTTTATGACACTCCCAGCTTGCTCAGAGACCTCCCCGCCATGTGTGGCCTCCCCAGGCCACCCTCTGAAAACTGCCATCTTGAGCTCACCAGTTACTAAATGGGTAGGGAGCATTTCCTCTGAACTAATGTTCCTCAAATAATACAATAAGGCAATGGAATGATGAATGTAGTCGTGAATAGCAATGCAATAGAGCCAGGCGGCATGGATCCCAAGCCCAAGTAGATTTTGGCAAGTTGAACAGTAGAACCAATAATAACTACCTATGTAGATATTATGATGATTCAATTAGGTATTATGATGTTTCAGCTCTGTATTTCCTCTGTAATACAAGAAGACATATAAATTACCAAGATTGAAAAGAAGATTACAAAAATCAGTAATGTGCTTAAAGTATTTAAAATGAGTGGGTAGCACAATATTGCAGTATATGAGGGTCAATCATTATTTTTTCTCTGTTCTCATCATCATTGTTTAAAACTGTCAGAACTCTCCTTGTTTCATAAGAGGCATTTTATAAGATCACTAGTATAAAGAACTTGAGGAGTAGATATGCTTGGTTGAATCCTGTTGAGTAAGATATGTGTTAGTTGCTTACATATAAGTGCTTTATAAATATTATGTGAGTTAATTTACAAACTAATCTGAAAATCTCTTCTCTATCACTACACAATAATAGCAAAAGTAACTGGCTTGCTGAAGAGTAAATGCTGTCCCCTTGCATTGGCCAAGACATCTTTGAGACTGAAAGGGAAGGCTGTTAAGTACACTGGACAATAAAGTTGATGCTATCCTGAACAAACCAGATAAAATAAATTTAAGAGATTTGTATATGTTACATATCATTATCATTATGTAAAAATCGCTTTTTCTTTCCTCATTCTTGTAGTTGTGTCAGTTCTGTATTTCCTCCATGATACAGCAAGGTATACAAATTATTCAGATTGAAGACAAGACTACAATCATCAATAATACACCATATCAAATATTTTATAAACCACAGTTATCTGTCTCTAATCCTCATTCTGGAAAGGAGGTAAGCTATTCATAATATGGTTGTTTTGTCTACATTTTTATAAATCAACAAATAGAATTAACTTTTTCAGTCTAGTGCAAAGAACAAAGTGAACACAGTATAGGTAATTTAGTGTTAGTAATTAGATGCTGTAATTCAAACCATGTATGGCCTGACCAGTGCCTCCAGGTAATTAATGAGCAGAAATCCTAGTAGGCAGCAGATCCTGACACATTGTTAGATTAGTTCTGTCACCACTGCATCTGCTTACATTATCTAGCATTAACCTTTTTTTTTTGGTCATGGGCTTGAACTATGGGTCTAGGTGCTGTCTTTCAGCTCTTCAGTTCAAGGCTAGTGCTCTACCACTTGAGCCACAGCACCACTTCTAGTTTTTTGTGGTTAATTGAAGAGTCTCACCGACTTTCATGCCTGGGCTGACTTCAATCCTCAGACCTCAGCCTCTTGAGTAGGATTACAAGCATGAGTCACCAGCACCTGGCTAGCATTAACTTTTTGTTACTCTAGAAGATTCTCTAAACCTCAAGTCCTGTGGCTTGCAAGGCAGATGTTTTTCATGCAAATTAGAAGCCACAGGACTTGAGGAGCCAAGTGGACCAAGCGTTAGGACTGAACTGAACTCCAGTCTGCCAGCTTTATGTCCATGAGAGTTATAATGTGAAAATGTACCAGCTCATTTATCTTGACATCTCAGTGACAGGATATACATTGAACAGTATTCACAAGGATTTTTTACTTAGTTTTTTTGTGCAATTAAAATGAATAGTTATATTTAAGAGAAAATGGAATGCTACTGTTTCATGCTATCAAACTCTGTCATATAGGAGGGCTGGGAGGGTGGCTCAGTGGTAGAGTGCTTGCCTTGCATGCATGGGTTTAATTTCTTAGCACCACATAGGCCGAAGAAGCTGGAAGTGGCACTATGGCTCAAGTAGTAGAGAGCTGAAGAGCTGAGGGACAGTGCCCAGGCCCAGAGTTCAGGCCCCACGACTGACCAGAAAAAAAGAAGGAGTGGCTGGGAAGGTGGCTCAGTGGTAGAGCACTTGTCTTGCATGCATGAGGCCCTGGGTTCGATTCCTCAGCACCACATAAGCAAAAAGAAAAAAGCCAGAAGTGGCGCTGTGACTCAAGTGGTAGAGTGCTAGCCTTGAGCTGAAGAGCTGAGGGACAGCGCCCAGGCCCAGAGTTCAGGCCCTAAGACCGACAGAAAAAAAAAAAAATGACACACAAACTATCATATAGGAAAGTATTGTCTTTCTGTGCCTTTGTCTGCAGTTATTATGTTCCATATTTTTAGGTCCTAAAAATTATAGAATAATCAAATAGGATTAAAGTTTTATACTTTTTGCCTCGAAACCTGTGTGGTATTTACAAAATCCAGAATTTTATTCTGGATTACTAAAATATCAATAAAAATAAACATTGATTGTCCAGATGGAAATAGGTCATTGACCTCTACATTGTAGGTGAGGACGAAACAAAGGAATTGGCATGTGCTCAAGTAATTTTCCTGCTTGCCCCTACTCCAGAGCCTCCTGAAAATGAAAGGCTTGGTTCAAAGGTTTTTATTTTCCCCCTTTATTTACAAAACTACTGATGCCAGAGGGTTAGAAATACAATGTACAGGGGAGGATATAATCCAAATCACAAAGCAGTAAGTGGCAAAGCCCAGCCCAAAACCAGTTTTTCTGTTCATGGGTTTGGGATTTCCCCAAACCCCAGTCTCTAGACCTCTACCTCTTGAGTAGCTAGGATTACAGGTGTGAGCCACTGTGCCTAGTGTTTTAAAACACCCTAGCTCTATTAGTATGCCCAGAAAAAACACACTGTGGGCTGGAGTTGTGAGTTAAATGGTAGAAAGCTTGCTAAACATTCATGAGACCATAGGTTCCATCCCCAGTATTGAAGGGAAAAATATCAAGTTCAATTTCCTGCATCTGCATTGTGGTAGTAAATATGCTCCCTCTTACTTATCTTTTTTTTTCCAGTATTTTCATGTTCCAGACAGTGCTACTTTCAGTATTTGCCCGGGTGAGGAGCAGTCTGCTAGGAAATGCAGCTCTCTTCCTTGTTGGGATTTCATGCCTGACATTGGGTCATCAGTGTGGGATGTATCCCTGCTTCAGAAACAGATCTTGCTGGGCTTTTGCCCTACAGCAGATGCTGACAGCTCGCAGTGCTGGAGCCTACCAGCTATAGTTAAACAAGAGTTTCCCAGACAAAGCGTGGCAGTGCCCTTTGGGAACTTAAGGGAAAATGGATTCTGTTCCAGGTATTTGACATAAATGTGAATGCCCTTCTTTGCTTGTTGAAGTCAGTGTTCATCCTCAGGCCAAAAGAAGCAGGAGGATGGCTACATTGCGCCATAGATGTAATGCTAGGCTTTCCTTTATCTCTAATGACTTCTGGATTTTGTGTACAGTTGATTGCATGTCATGATCACAAATAGTGTGTCCCAGTGTACTGCTTATAAGATTTGTTCCTTTTCCACCTCTATGCTAGGGGGAAATGATGGTGCTCATACTGTTGTAGCAGCAGTACATTGTAATGAGAGGACTCACCTTTATTTTTAGGCGTTCTTTTGTAAAATGGTGACATGTAAAGGCTAACGTATGTTAGTTTTGACAATCTGTATGTGTAATTTAGAGTGAATTTTTCTTTTATGCCCATGCAATTATTTAACTCCAAGTAATACAGCTTTACTCTTTATGGGAAAATGTGATACTGTAAAGTATGATCATATTGTGAAAGTTGGCAATAAACATTATGTATATGGTTAGAATGAAAAAAAAACAAGGACCCAAATTCTCTACATGTCCATATAAAAGCAGTTCAGGTTCTTCGTTATCCAGATTTACCAAGTACGTTGGGGGGAGAGGAACGTATGTGTCTGAAGAGTTTGAGGCAAAAGAACAGCAGGCAAGGTAGTTTTAAGTCAGCTATTGTTTGCTCCCATTGCTAGAGTTATGGTTTTATCTTTGAAATAATTTTATCATTATATGTTTTGAGAGAAATGCATATTACTATTATTGTTAAAAATCAATAAACTCACAGTTCACATATGATAACTAATAAATAAGGAGAAAACCTCCATTACTGAAAAATATTTCCTGATTCATAATAAAAGGGAGATATTTAGAGTTAAAAATATGCAAACCCAAGTAAATGTGTATTTTTTTTCTAAACTATGCCTACCATTTGATTTGATTCTGTTCCAGGGCTATAGCACTGACATACCAAGAACACTTTGGAGTGACTTATTTAACCCTCTCAGAAGACCCCAGTCCTCGAGTAATTTTTCACAACAGATGTCCAGTAACATTGCTTATAAAGGAAAATATTAAAGGTATTTATGGAACTGAATTTGAGGAATATAAAAACATATTCTTTCTTGAGGTTCTCAATTTAGTAGATACTTGTGATCCTGTATAGAATGTTTAAATAAAAGTTTGTATCTGAGCCTCAGTGGCTGACACCTGTAATCCTAACTACTCAGAAAACTGAGATCTGAGGATCGTGGTTCAAAGCAGCCCAGGCAGGAAAGTCCATGAGACTCTTCTCTCCAATTAGCCACCAGAAAGCCAGAAGTTGCTCAAGTGGTACAGTGCTAGCCTTGAGTTCAATGAACCCAAGACCAGCACACACAAAAAAGAGTATGCATCCTTTTCTGAGTAGTCTGTTTCACATATGCATTTTTTACATTTCAGATACTCCAAAGTTTGAAGTTTATTGCAGAAAAATTCCTTTTGAGAGTTCAATGCATCATGAGCTATATCATCATATTTCCAGTTATCCAGATTGTAGGACCAAAGATTTACTTCCTAGTCTTCGTTTGAGAGTAGAATTGCTGGAAGAAATAACAACTGAATGGAGTGACGCCATTGATATCAACAGTCAGGGAACACAGGTTAGTGAACCACATGGGTTCCTGCTAGACCAAAGAATAATTCCTTTTTCTACATTCTCATTGATTGTTTAAGTATTACTATTATTTATTTGGTCAGTCATGAGGCTTGAACTCTGGACCTGAGCACCGTCTCTGAACTTTTCAGTTCAAGGTGAACACTCTACCACATGAGCCACAGCACCACTTCTGGTTTTCTGGTAGATAATTGGAGATGAGAGTCTCACGGACTTTTCTGCCAGGGCTGGCTTTGAACCATGATACTCAGATCTCAGCCTCCTGAGAAGCTAGGATTACAGGTGTGAGCCACCAGCACCCAGCTTAATTATATATATACATATATGCATAATATATGTATAATATACATATAATATATATATTAATATTATATCATATATTATGTAATAAATATTTTTAAGGCTGAACTTGTCTCTGTCAGAAAGCAGCACTCGGAAAAATGAAACCATTTCAAATCTAGTAGACATCAAAAGTGAAGCAAAATTGTTACACTTAGTAGTTCATGCCTGTAATACTAGCTACTAAGGAGGCTGAGATCTAAGGTCTGTATTTGAAGACAGCCCAAGCAAAAAGTCCATAAAATTCATAATCTGCAATTAACCACCAAAAAAAACTGGAAATGGAGCTGTGGCTCAAGTGGCAGAGCACTAACCTTGAGCAAAAAATCTAAGGGACAGGGCCCAGATCCTGAGTTCAAGTCCTATGAGTAGCGCGCGCGCATGCGCGCGCGCGCGCGCGCGCGCGCGCGCGCACACACACACACACACACACACACACACACACACACACACACTCACACACTCTTGTCAGACTTCTTTATATAAAAGGGGGTCCAGCTGTCCAGATTTTAGAATAATTATATCAACCCTAGATTAATTCCCTGTTCTGAAAGCATAACAATTTTAAAATATCTGTACTAGTAATCCATAAAACCCTTCAAATATAATCTTAAAAAGCTAAATTGGTTTCTATGTCACTGAGTTACTAGTATTGCTTTTGTGAAAAAAAATGCACATGAATCTAGTATTTCTTTTTTTGCTGTACTTAAAATTTACTACTTATAAATTTTAATGATTACTGCTTGTAAATTTCAATGGAAATTTAATGACAATTCAGTGTCATTAAATGTTTACTGTTAATGTTGCCTAACCATCACTATTAGGTTAGTCAGTTTTCCATCTCTGTGACAAAAGTACCTGAGAAACTTAGCTCAAAGGAAGAAAGATTTATCTTTAAATAATAAATTGTTAAATAAAAAATAATGTTTCAGTCTACGGTAAACTGTCCTCATTCTCTAATTGTGGCAAGCAGAAGCATTATGGGGGAAGGGCATGGCTAAGGAAACCTGCTCACATCATGGCAGGAAGGGACTGGAGACCATTTACACCCTTCAAAGATAGCCCCCAGTGTCCTACTTCCTCCAAGTAGTTCCCATCCCCTAATTACGCATTCAGCTATGAGCTATTTTACCAATGGGTTAATCCATTCATGAAGTTAGTGCCCTTAAGATCCAATTACTTCTCAATAGTTCCACCATGTGCAGACCAAGATTTCAACACATGGAGTTTTGGAGCCATTTTTTAAAATCTAAACCATTAATAGCCACTATCCATTTTATTATTCTAAACAGAAACTCTAAACACACCCTCCCCTTCCTCAATCCTAGTAGACTCTATGTGCTTTCTGTCACTAAATTTGCTTACTTCTAAGCATCTCAGATAAGAGAAATAATAAAGTATTTGTACCTTTGTATCTGAGGCTTTTTTTTACTTTGTAAATTATGTTAAAGGCTCACTGCATGTGTCTTAAAGTTAGTCATTTTATGTCTGAATAATATTGTGCTATACTTTAAAAAAGTTATTTCACATACATTCACATAGTCTTCACAATAAGCTTATGAAATAGAGTCCAATGTTATAATGCTATAAATCACATATTAGTCATACTAAAAATAATAATAAGCATTGATTATCATTTAGTAATCACTCTGTGCCAGATTTTGTGCTAGCTGTGCTCTCTAAGTTTGATAATAGTCATGTAAGTTAGAATTCCCATGAACTATAAGAGAAAGGTCTAAGGTAGATCTCAATCTTCCTGCATCCAGCACCCATTCTCCAAGACACTGGGCTGTGCATGGTTCTCTTTCATTTGGAATCCTTGGCCCTTCTCTTTCCTTGTCCTCCAGCATATTCTTATTTCAAGATGTAGCTAAAGCCCCTATAACCATCTCTGTGTGTTCATATAACATTTATACCTTTAATTATCTTTTTTTTCAGCATTGGGGATTAACCCAGGGATTCACACTTGCCAAGCTAGCACTCTACCATTGGAGCCATGCCCACAGCCCTTTTGCTTGCGTATTGTTTGTATATTGTCTCTCTTAACTTTGTCCAGTCTGACCTTGAATTTGTGATCTTTCTACTTCTGTTTCCCTAGAAGCTGAGATTACATGCTTATAACTGTACTTCTTTAGGTTATCTTCTACTACATCAAGATTCCTGGAAGTGGTTAACCACATTTATCCATAGCATAGTGGTGAATGATTAAATAAGATGAGATTGCTAAAAGTCTATAAAGAAGAGCAAGAGGGTCACAGATACCTAGAGAAACTTCAGCTTGCAAACATAAAGCAGCAAAATAGATGAGGAAAAGCACCTAAATGATAAGAGGAGGGCTGGATAGGAAGAGGAGAACCATTGAGAGACTAACCAAGATAATGATGAGAAATTGTAAGTGCGGAATGAGCCGAAATGAGAGAATGGAGGGGCAAGTTTAAATTGTTCTTTTAAGGAATGTGACCATAAGAAACTGAGATCAGTGGAGGAAGTTCTTTACATGGTAATGGGAAGGGGCCAGACAAGAAGAGCAGGAAAAAAAACAAAACAAAACATAGAGTAAGTCAAGAAGAGTCACTCCCATGTCTCTGAGAGAGGAAAGAAGACAAGGATGAGCACAGCTGCAGATAGATGTGTGGAGAGAGATAGGGGTAGGAAATTCAGTGACGTGGTTCTCAGTAGCCTGGTGTTTATTTATTTATGCCAGTTCTGGGGCTTGAACTCAGGGCTTGGGCACTGTACCTGAGCTTCTTTTGCTCAAGGCTAGCGCTCTACCACTTGAGCCACAGCACCATTTCTGGCTTTTTCTGTTTATGTGGTACTGAGGTATGGAACCCATTGTTTGATGCATGCTAGGCAAGCACAGTCCCAGCCCCTGGAGTTTATTTTTAAAGTGGAGAATGAATAATCTGCTAAAGTAAGGAAAGAGGGAGGGAATGAAAGCCTGCTTTTGAAGTAGACAGTCTGCCCAGCATATCATTTCCACAGCAATGCTCATATGATGGTCATTGAAAATCTGGTGGGTCTGTGCAGCATTGAGAAATGTCCCTAGTCTTGTTAATTTACAAAATAAATACTTTAAGCTTCTCAAGTGTTCCTGGACTCCCCTGCACTGGGTTGAAAACTTGCTTATATATCACTAGACACTTCTTTACAATAGGCATCTTGTCTCCCAAGCTATATTTGGGGAGTTCCTATTCACTCTTAAGTTTCCTCAGACATTGGTAGTCAGAGCTACTTCAAAGCCCAGGAGGGGTACACTTTCCAACATTCCTCTTATCATCTGTGGACAGAGGACCCAGCAGAGGCTCATGGTCCCATTAATCTTTGAGGAGCTCTATGCCATATGTCCTGCAGACCATGGTGTACTTCCTCCTCTGGAAGATGTGTTTCAGACCCTCACCAACATCTACTCCTCAATAATACTCCAGGCATATAAATCACTGGTGAGAGAAGGAGCTATGTCCCTGATGATAATCATATGAGACTTGTACTACTGCAAACTACAGGAGCTGCGAAGGAATTAGCAGGCATCTTAAAGAGAGAACAGTCAGCCATTGGAGAGCAAAGAAGTGTGTCTCTAGTTGAGAGACCTGGAATCTGTCTGTGTCTTTACAGACAAACAGGCCTCTAGAAAGAGGGTGGCCGAATTTTCTAGTCAGAACAAGCAACATGTTAAAGTTTCAGGACTCAAGTAGGGGTATGTTCTTTTTAGGGCACAAAACATCAGTATGGCTGTCCTGTCTGATAAAAGACAGGAGGAGAGGAGACCTGTGAGGCAGAGAAGAACTCTAGCAAGCCCTTAGTATCCTGTAAGGATTGGCTTTTATCTTGAGTCACAGGAAATCATCAGATTGTTTATGAAAAGTACATTCTGAGCCACTGAAGGGGAATGATTAGTTAATTATCCCATTATGGCTGAATTTCCTTCTAAAAGGACCCGTAAATTCTCATGATCTTTAGTTCTTAATTCTCATGATCTTTGGTTCTTAATAGAAGTGTTTAGTACAGTCAACCTCACTGCTATTCTCAATGTGTTTGTATTTAGGAGACACCAGTTCATGTGTGTATAGCTCAGTACCATCTACAAAGTGCTTCCATTCTTTCATTCATTTGTTCAAAACATTTTATTGAAAGTCTATCAAGTGCTAAACCCTTCTTCTCAAATAAGGTATAATTCCCACCTAAATAAATGGAGTAATGTGGTAAGATAGATACTAAGACAGAGCCATTGGTCATTGAAAAGCTTCTTAGATAGGACTTTTTTTTTTTCAGTTATGGGGCTTGAACTTTGGGCCTGGGTGCTGTCCTGCAGCTCTTCGGCTCAAGGCTATAGCACTCTAACACTTGAGCCAGAGCACCACTTCTGGTTTTCTGGTGGTTTGTTGGATATAAGAGTCTCACGGACTTTCTGCCTGGGCTGGCTTTGAACCGTGATCCTCAGATCTCAGCCTCCTGAGTAGCTAAGATTACAGGCATGAGCCACCAGCGCCCAGCTAGATAGCACAATTTTTATATTGATTTTCCACTGAGAGGTTTCGGGCTTAAAGAGGTTTCACTTCTGTGGCTTGCTTCTATCCAGAGTCAGGTTGAGACCTAAATCTGCCCATGCAACCTCCCAGTCTTGTTTGTTTTTTCTACACCACACTG